TGTCATGTTTAATCCCAGTGAGGAGTCAAGTTGGAATTGAAATTCTTTCTTCTTTTTTTTTCTTTTTGTACAGAAGATCAGTTTAGTGTACATTAAGTAAAGATTTCAGTCGTTTGCACCCCCATAGAAACACAAAGTGAAATATACTGTTTGAGTACTCGTTATAGCATTAAGCCTCAGTGTACAGCACGTTAAGGACCGAGATCCTACATGAGGAGTAAGTGCACAGTGACTCCTGTTGTTGACTTTACAAATTGACACTCCTGTTTATGGCATCAGTAATCTCCCTATGCACCCGTTATGAGTTTCCAAGGCTATGGAAGCCCCTTGAGTTCTCCGACTCTTATCTTGTTTAGACACGGTCATAGTCAAAGTGGAGGTTCTCTCCTCCCTTCAGAGAAAGGCACCTCCCTCTTTGAAGACCTGTTCTTTCCACTGGGATCTCACTCACAGAGATCTTTTTGCCAGAGTGTCTTGGCTTTCCATGCCTGAAATACTCTCATGGGCTTTTCAGCCAGATCCGAGTGCCTTTAGGGCTGATTCTGAGGCCAGAGTGCGATTTAGGACATCCGCCATTCTATGAGTCTGCTGAGTATCTCACTTCCCATGTTGGATCACTCTCCCCTTTATTTATTCTATCGGTTGGTGTTAGCAGATACTAGACTTGTTTATGTGCTCCCTTTGACTCTTAGTCCTTTCATTATGATCAATTGTGAACTGAAATTGATCACTTGGAATAGTGAGATGGCATTGGCACATGCCACCTTGATGGGATTGAATTGGAATCCCCTAGTATGTTTCCAACTCTACCAATTGGGGCAAGTCAGCCCGAGCATGCCCCAAATTATACATCTCTTCCCTCTCTTATTCCCACTCTTATGTTTAACAGGGATCACATTTCAGTTAATTTTCAACACTTAAGAATAACTGTGTGATAATTACAGAATTAAACCAGTCATATTAAGTAGAACAGACAAAAAAAAAAATACTATGAGGGATAATGTATTAAGTTGTCCATTAGCAGTCAGGGCTATGCTGATCAAGTCACCATTTCTCATAGTGTCCATTTCACTTCAGGAGGTTTCCTTTTTGGTGTTCAGTCAGTTGTCACCGATCAGGGAGAACATATGGTATTTGTCCCTTTGGGACTGGCTTACTTCACTCAGCATGATGTGTTCCAGATTCCTCCATTTTGTTGCAAATGACTGGATTTCGTTGTTTCTTACTGCGGTATAGTACTCTAAAGAATACATATCCCATAATTTCTTTATCCAGTCTACCGTTGATGGGCATTTAGGTTGGTTCCAGGTCTTGGCTATTGTGAATTGTGCTGCAATAAACATTAGGGTGCAGACCGCTTTTTCAAATCACGAATCTTAAAAACAGATAAGTTTATTTTGGTGCAAAAAATTTTGAAACCTTTGTGTAGTTTTTTTTTTCACAGTATGCATTCCCTTATGAATGGTAGCTATGGATTGCAAAATTTCTTGCATCAAAATAAATATCTCTTAACTCTTTTTTTCTGTGAACACTTGTTACGTGAATAGTTGTTAAATTGTTTTATTGAGAGTTTGTGCAGCAGCATCCTTTATGAGCACAAGGTTGAGTCCTGGCTGCTCCACTTCCAATCCAGCTCCCTGCTAATGTGCTTGGGAAGGCAGAAGATGGTCCAAGTGCTTGGATCCTGGCAACCCATATAGGAGACTAGGATGTAGTTGGCTATTTGGGGAGTGAACCAGAGAAAGGAAGACCCCTCTCTGTCACTCTGCCTTTCAAATAAATTTTTTTTTAAGATTTTTTCTGTTTGTTTGAGAGGCAGAGTTACAGACAGTAATAAGGAGAGACAGAGAGAAAGGTCTTCCTTCCATTGGTTCACTTCACAAATGGCCGCAATGGCTGGAGCTGCTCTGATCTGAAGCCAGGAGCCTCTCCTATGCAGGTGCGGGGGCCCAAGGACTTGAACCATCTTCTACTGCTTTCCCAGGCCACAGCAGAGTTGGATTAGAAGGGAAGCAGCCAGAACTCAAACCAGTGCCCATATGGGATGCCAGCGTCGCAGGCAGAGGATAAATAAATCTTTTTAAAAAATTTTTTTTGACAGGCAGAGTGGACAGTGAGAGAGAGAGACAGAGAGAAAGGTCTTCCTTTGCCGTTGGTTCACCCTCCATTGGCTGCCGTGGCCGGCGCGCTGTGGCAGGCGCACCATGCTGATCCGATGGCAGGAGCCAGGTGCTTCTCCTGGTCTCCCATGGGGTGCAGGGCCCAAGCACTTGGGCCTTCCTCCACTGCACTCCTGGGCCACAGCAGAGAGCTGGCTTGGAAGAGGGGCAACCGGGACAGAATCCGGAGCCCCTACCAGGACTAGAACCTGGTGTGCCGGCGCCGCAAGGTGGAGGATTAGCCTAGTGAGCCACGGCGCCGGCTTCAAATAAATCTTAAAAAACCATTTGGATAGTTTAGGGAGTAAGAGTAACAAAAAACGCCTGCATATGTTCAGTAAACATACAATTTTTTTTGAAGAAGATTTATTTTTTATCTGAGAGGCAGAGAGTGAGAGGGAGAGATCTTCCATCCACTGGTTAACCCCCAAATGACCGTAACAGCCAGATCTGGGCCAGGCCAAAGCCAGGAGCCTGAGTGAGATTCCATCCTGGTGCAGGGGCCCAAGCACTTGGGCCATCCTCCGCTGCTTTCCCAGGCGCATTAGCAGGGAGCTGCATCAGAAGTGGAGCAGCCGGGACTCGAGCTGGCGCACCAATTATGAGATGTTGGTGTTACAAGCCACCGCCTTATCGTGTCACCTGTGCCACGATGCTGGCTCCAGGTGCAGTGTTTTGATGTGAGGTTGGTGGAATCTGCAGATGTGGCACCACGGACAGCCCAGGCTGCCTGTGGCTGTAGTGGTCACCTCCTCGTCCATGAATGCCTCACCCAGGATGGTGAAGAGTTCCCCGACAGCCGAGAGTCTCAGAGGCATTGGGACCCCTGGGAGAGGGATGGGGCTGTGACTGGATGGGTGGATTCAGTCAGGGCAGGCTTCCTGGAGGAGGCTGCACCCAGAAGGATGACTTTTTTTTTTGCAGCATTGGATCCATTTGTGAGCTCCCTTAGAGGGCAGAGGCCAGGTCAGCCCCACCCACTGCTGTCCACTTACTGTGTGGCTGTGAGCAAGTGGCTTCACCTCTGTGCCTCAGTTTCCCTATCTGCAACACGGACCTGGTCACAGTAACAGCTTCCGGCTCACATCACGCGACAGACCCATCCTCACCTATCTCAACCACAACCACGTGAAGTGGACGTGGCTCATCTCACCTGTGGGGCGAGACCGAGACCAGAGAGGGCCAGCGCCTTGCCCGAAGCCACACAGCGAGAAACTGGGGAGCCGCCGCCGGGTGCCCAGATCCAGCCTGTTAAATAATTTGTGGGATGCACTTTCTTCTCCTGTATTGGATGCTAAGTGATTGGTTTACGATGGGTGCCTACTAAATGATCGTCGGTATTGTTTTTAATTATAAATTCTGCTAGAAGGCTCTGGGAGGGAAGGTGAGGCGAGGGGAGCGGGGGCCGTGGGCTGGCTGTGAGTTTCCTTTCCCGGGGTCCCGCGCGCGCGTGTGTGCGCATGCATGCCAGGC